CTCTGTTGAAGTTGGAAGACACCAACAGCAGCAATATGGGTAGACTGATTGATGATGGCAGGAATTGTTTGGTTACACTGACTGAAAGAAAAGCTTGGCAATGAGAGCACAAGAAGCTCTTAATTTAAGATGTCCTTATGCTCTGCTTGCATACTTAAGCAGATCTTAGAGCACTGCCCTAGGCCATCCTGTTAACTTCACAGCACTAATGGACTGTGAGAAGTAGCTAGTATTTACACAGAAGAGCCCAATGAGGGCTGGGGGATATGTTAGGAAGATGACAAAGGCATGGTGGGTTGGCTTGGTTGCTGTGCTGAATTCTTGTGTTGTTTTGTTTTCTTGTTCCCATCAGGATGTACCCACTAAATTGGTGGCCAAAGCTGTTCCTTTGCCTATGACAGTCCGTGGGCACTGGTTCTTGAGCCCGAGAACAGAATACACAGTAGCAGTGCAGACTGCGTCGAAGCAAGTTGATGGCGATTATGTTGTTTCTGAGTGGAGTGAAATCATTGAGTTTTGCACAGCAGGTAATGTTGCTGAGAAAACATACACCATAGGACATATTCAATTAAGACTAGCTTTGCTGCATGAATGGATTAGCCATCTACCAGTATGATGTAGCCTGGTGGGCTTGTAGTATTTACACTTGGAAACTGTGAATGCTTGCTTTTAGCCTCTGCATGCACTCAGGATTGGTGTATTAATGAGAGAAAGAAGGAAGCTGCAGTGCCCTTCTGTTCTACAATAGCTTAGATGCATTGAAGTGCTGTACCTGGTACCATTGCTTCTGCCAAACTAGGCAAGGAGACTGGTGAACCAAAGTGGAGCAGGGTCATTTGTGTGCCCCTCACTGGCTACAAACCCTTTTGGAGAAAAGACAGTGGCAGCTTGCTAACAGGCAGATTGTTCAAGACATTCTGCTGCTCCCATTTCTCTGCATTCTCCAGAGCCTGAGCACCACCACTAACCTGTCTTGAGGACAAGTACACATACCTTCAGCCTATATGTGCCTTCTGTTGGATAAGGGCCACCCAATACAAACATGTCTGCCTGCATGAAAGTTGAGAGCTGACTCATGCTCTCCGTGAAGTCTATGTTTGTTGAGATGCAGCTGAGGCTGGGTCCTAAGCAATCTATTTTTAGTTAAATGACTACTAATTAGTTTGCAAACAGATCATCAAACAATTCTGTCAGAAATTAGGGCAATTCTCAGCTCTTCTGCATTTCCCAGATATATATTCACTCTAACACAGTTGATCCCCAGATGGAAGCGACTAGAAGCTTGCAAGGTATTTGTAGGGAGGATCAAGCATGCATGCTCCTGCTATTTGTCTCTTGCTGCTGCTGGAAAATAGTGCTGGACTTGATAGTTATCTATAGCTGCTACACGATGTATGTTGCTGATGCTCAATTCCCAATTATGTATGGAGTTTTTGGAGAGCGTTATGGGTTTTTTTCCTCTCTCGTACTAGCAGATTGTCTTTTCTTCTTAGATTATTCAAAAGTTCACTTAACACAGCTTTTGGAAAAAGCTGAAGTGATTGCAGGCCGTATGCTTAAACTGTCTGTATTTTATCGGAATCAGCACAAAGAATACTTCGATTATATCAGGTAAGAATGTAAACATATGCAAAATTGTTTGGCAAATTAAAGTAGTAATGAAAATTTGTAAATGGAAGTAGCTGTGCTAAAGCTGGAGCAAAATATGCGCCTGTTCAGAGGAAAAAATAAAAGGTAACTCGCTTCTTCCACCCTGCCTGGCTTGGCACTTAAATTAGGAAATAAAAGTCTGGTTTAGAGCAGAAACTTAAGTAAGTGTTCAGAGTCCCCACCCTTGCTGAAGTCCCTGTGTTTTCATAGCAAAGTGTTTAAAAACCAAATTCTGCTCTTGTATTAAGAGCTTCAGAGTGAGCTATGTAATAGTAGAAATTGTATGTATAGTTAGATCTGAACTCCTATGTGTACACAAACACCTATCTCACATATTTGCTCTCTGCATACATTTTTATGCCCAGACGGAGTAAATGGGGTTCTGAAATCCAGACCAAAATTTACAGATCATGCTTACTTGAGGAGGAGGGATGTTTAGACAATCTCAAAATACCGTTTTTCAGTTGGAATAAATAAAGGGGATAGGTGGAGATAGGTTCCTTATTCCTGCATGGAGACCCAGTTTGATTTTTGCATGCACAAGCAGAAAAGACTTTTCAATGGAAGGAGTCAAAGCCCGTGTATTGGCTGAGCAGGAACGGCCACCACACAGCGGTAATCTGCTCTTAGAAGAATGTGGATGAGAGGTAAACAGTGTGACAACCTCTGTTTCAGGACTGATGATGATTCTTTGGTGTATAACAAGGGAGCTGGGGCTGCTTTTGTGCCACGTGATTCCAGCTGTATGTATGTGTGTGTATCATACTGTACAGAACTAAAATACCCAATATGTCCAGCTTAAAAGTGCAAACTACACCAGCCTTGGAAATGTTTCAGATTTGTAGTCATGAGTATGAAGGGGACTCCAGGATTGTCTCATATATTGAAGAGCATGAAGTCCACTCCCAGGAATTACTTTGTTGCACATAGTGATTGAGCTGCTAACTCAATGGAGATAAAGAATGGCTTGCATCGTCAGGTCTTTGAGGACCTACTGTATCTCTGGTGACATGCTGAACTAGATACCACAAAAGAGAAACAGCCTGTGCTGTTTCTGGTTCTCATCCAGTTTTACTTTCAGCTGTGTATCACAGTGCTTTTGTGTATCACATCCTTTTGTGTTCACAGAGCTTTGAAAATTGCTAGTTTAATACAAGGAGAAACAGAATTTGTTCTCCTCCTATTAGTGTGTTAGAGACGAGAGGCTGACTTTTGCTAGGTCACTATGAAGCTAGGATACCTGTAATTCCAACAACAGTCTTTGATCAGAAATATACTAGGCCAGACCTTCTGAACGTTGTGTTATAAACCCTAACCAAATGATTGTCACACCATTCCCTCCAATGGCCTCTGTGGTTTCATAACTATTAAACAAGATTGAAAAAGCTTGTAGAGTAGCACAAGTAGTAGCAATAGCTAACAAGCAACTTTCACTATGCTAAAGCAGCAACCCCTAGGTGTAAGGTTGCTTTTTGTTGTTGTTGTGTTTTTTTTAAGTATCACGTTGCTGCTGCTTCCTTGAGGTGGAAGCACAACAAAGCATCTCAGATCCGTGGAATGAGTGACCTATAAATAGTGTAACTGGCCACTGGATGTCAGTATCTTGCCACAGAAATGAAACTGCAAGCCTTTTCCTGAGGTTGCAGAGATGGTGGTTATTCAAGCTGATTGTTTATTTCCCTTTTGCATTCATTTCAGTTGTAATATGCCAACTGTACCCCCCTCCCCTTGCACTCTCCACGCCCACAAAAAAATCCACCAACCACCACTGTCTTGTGAGATAGGGCTTGAGACAATAATTATTGAAATGGCTGAGAAAGTCTTTGAAATCTGAGTCAAATAAAGATATGCTTCTGAGAAAGTTAGAAATAACAACAAAATCAGACTTGGAGGCATTTCTGTGTTGATTAGGAGTTTTCTTACATTGTTACGAAAAAATCAGCTAATTAGAGATATATCAGTGCTTTGGAGGCTTTTTGTTTGTGCTATTCTTTGCACTGACCTAAGAGCCACAGCTCTCAGCTGACAGAGAATACAGAGTGAAAAAGAAGGGCTTTTTTCTCCTCGAGGAGGATTTACTCCACCTGAGCGAATCTGGCTTCACTTGATTTCCTTGGTCCTAGGATCATGACACTAACCAGAGTTCTCAGAGTTCTAATGATTTTCCTTTGTGTTCCTTCAGTACTGTTGCAAAACAGAATGAAGTAAATGAGTCCTAACTTACCATTCTTGTAATGTTATTAAATAAACAATACCCATCATCCATTTATAGAGAGCACCATGGGAATGCTATGCAGCCTTCTGTTAAGGATAACAGTGGCAGCCATGGCTCTCCAATCAGTGGGAAGTTGGAAGGCATCTTCTTTAGCTGCAACACTGAGTTTAACACTGGGAAACCACCCCAAGATTCACCTTATGGAAGATACAGGTTTGAGATTGCAGCTGAAAAACTCTTCAACCCAAATACTAACTTGTACTTTGGAGACTTCTACTGCATGTACACAGCTTACCACTACGTCATTCTTGTTATTGCCCCTGTCGGGTCACCAGGAGATGAATTCTGTAAGCAGCGCCTTCCTCAGCTAAATATAAAAGATAATAAATTTCTGACCTGTGATGAAGAAGATGGAGTAATGGTTTACCATCATGCCCAGGATGTTATTCTGGAAGTAATTTACACTGATCCTGTGGATCTCTCCCTCGGCACAGTTGCAGAAATTACTGGTCACCAACTAATGAGCTTGTCTACTGCAAATGCAAAGAAAGATCCCAGCTGCAAGACCTGCAATATCAGTGTTGGACGTTAAAACTTCCCTTGTTCCTTAGGAGCCTTCAAACCTCTGTTGTCCATTTCCATAGTCAGCTGGTTTTGTCAGAAGCATGTACATGCCGCTGTCACCAAGAGCAAACATGAGTCTCCAAACTCTCCAACTAGTCTTTTTAGTATTTCTTCTCCCTCTCTTTCCCTTCGGTTCCTCCAATGCTTTAAATGATTAGAAGTCCTGGATTATTTTTTCTCTGGCAACCATTTATACTTAGATGCTGCAAAAATTGTTTTCTGTTTCTTGCCAAACATAACAAAATCCTATATAAACTGCTTTAGCAAAATAAAAATAACGGCTTATAAATGGTGTTTAAATATGCATTCATTTTAACTACTGAACAAATACCGGGATAACTCCAAACAGCATGAAAGGTTGTAATTGCAGCATGATTTCAAAGCCTAGAAATGTCAGCACTTCCAACGTGTTGTTTGACAGTGTTATTTATGTTATTTATATTAGCTAACTGAAAACAGAAATTGTGTCTTGACATAATAAATATAATAGAAAAATATTTTATTTGTACTGTTGTATAAAATATTATACAATCATATAGAATATATAGATTACGTTTTAATATCAATTGTATACATATGTCATGAAATCATTTTCCCTTATCAAAGATGTAGTTTGTAAACTTCAAACAGCTCTGTATCTGTTCCTGTTGCTCTAGATGACTTTAATTAAAACAGATTTATGAAGGAGACCATTCTGATTCATAAAATTTGAGTTACAAATTATTAAATTGGTACACTGAAACAACAAACTTCTGAGAAATAAAAACATCCTTTTATAGTCATCATACTTTTTCCTCCAAGCTACTTGAAAATGTGTACGTCTTCAAAAACATGCCCCATCATCACATACAATATAAATACAAACGTGGTTGGCACATAATAGGCTTTATAAAATGAAAAATTTCTTACCAAGATAGATATAAAACAGGTTCCTTATAATATATGGCCAATACAAAATGACAGTTAAACCAAAACACAAAACACGTTTCAACTTACGCACATCCCTGTTTTTCTTCTCTCATTGTTCCTTTCTTTATGCCTGGGCTAAGTATTTCCCAGAATCCCTGCTTTTCATTTCTAGTACAAAAACGCTGATAATCCTTCTGTTAACAATTCACACCAATGACTTATCACAAATAGAGGGAAAATTTCCTTAATATTACAAAGTCTGGTGCTCTGAAAGTTAAGAAAGATGTATCATTTGAATGGAAAAATATCTTCTTTATAATCTTTTTTATAGTAAACAAGAAGTCTAGTGTTCCTCATCAGATAACTGTGACACTCAATTATATGCCAGGTACTTTACTTTATCTATCCAAAATATCTTAGCATAATGCAATACTCTAGTCTTTATATATATGTGGCAATTTGTATGACACAGGAAATAAATAACTTGACATTGTACAAAGTGCATGCTTCTAAACAAGCTTTGGTAATCAGAAAAGCAAACATCATAGCATCAGGCAAAATAAAGTGCAGAAATTCAGTATGGAAATAAAAATTAGCATATAGTTGGTCTATTTACTCAATTTTACGTACCATAAGCCAAGTCCTGTGAACCATAATGAAAAAGACAGCATCCAGTACGTTTGCTAAATCTCTTCCTGGTAAACTTCAAATGTTTTGTTTTGCCAAGTCTTTCTCTTATTTCTGAAATACAGTAATTCCATTTGGCAGTCATGCCTCCTTCCTCTAAATCCTGTCAATTTTTTTCCCTTGAATGTACTGGAATTAAGTGGCAGCTCCGTCTTGAAAGACAGAATTTATTGTTTTAAACTTACTTGCTTGTGTTTCTTTTAATCTAGTGAACCAATCAGCACGTTGAGAACCAATAGTTATAGTTTTATAGTTTTATTTATACTGCATGTTAATTCTGTTTAAAAAAAAAAATAAAAGCATGTGGTATGTTAGTATATTCTAAGATGTACTAATAACCTGGAGACATTTCCTCACACTTTTTAAACCTAGGAACAAGTCAAACAGAGTCAACAATACTTCAGTGTCCTTTTAATTTCTAACATTCTCACAGTGCACTTCAAGGCTTTAAAGTGAAAAAATATATATATATTCTATATATAGTTCACTCACCCATTCTTAATATTCTCATATATTGCTGTCCTCCCTCATCCCCGCTTTTAGAATTGGTAAAGTGCATCAAAAGATCTCAGCATGTCAAATAATTGTGCAGCTGACTAAGACCTCTAAAACTACCACTTTGTTTTTCCATTATTGTTTGTTTGATTTGCTAGAGAATGATACCACTGCATTGTACTGATTTCAAATTGTTTTGGAAACATCATGCTTACTGATGAGAACTTCTATGAGCCTGATTTTGGCTTTTGTGTGCTTGTATTCTGAGTATTCCTCTGCCATAGGTACACGATCTTCCTTTAGAGGACTCCTATAAAAAGCAAGCAGAAGTACAATCACTTTTATGGATTAAAGGAGAAAGAGTCTTTAAAATTAATTTTGCAGTAACTAAAGGGGTTGGAGTCACAAATATATATATTTTTTTTCCTAACGGTAGGCAACTAAAGATAATGTCAAAGGAACGAAAAAAAAACTAATAGAAATGAAAGGAATTGGATTTTAAATATTAACAAACTTTTCATATGCATCAGGAAATTTTCTTTATCGTTAGCTATGCAAGTGTAATTACTTAATTCTGAAATACGCAGAAAAGTTATTAGGCAGCACTTTGAAAAATGCTACCAGCACATATCCCCTGCAGTTTTCAGCAAACAAGTGCGTTAAATGATAGGAGGAATATAAATACAGAGTGAAAAGTATCTAATATTTCTGAATGAAGAAAACAGTGGTTTCAGTTTTTATATCTGGCCTTTTAGATATTGTCAAACTGCTCCGTTTAGTCCCTGAAGGTTGACAACTTCAGAAAGAGCATTAGCAAGATTCTCTGTGCCTCAGGAAAGATCCTGCGGTGAAACACTGGACAGTTTATGCCCATTACAAGCATGTTCTGGGAAGGTCTCAGATGTAGAAGGTAATCAGGGATTCCCACATCCCAGAGGAGCTCAGCGAGGGTCTGGTCATCTTCACAGAGACCAGGCATCTCCATGTTATCTTCGTGTCCCGGACTGCAGCTCCTTTGGTCTTCCCATATAAGAGTACCTGCTCTCATAGAAACAAATGCACCTACATGGGTACCCAAAGAGGAAAATGGGAAGGGCATTTGTCAAGTTGGTTATTTACCTTCCTGTCTGCTTATAGAATTGTTCTTCAAACTCTCTTAAAGCTTTGCGAAGCCTTTTCTTGTCTGCTCTTGTTTCTCGGAGATGTTCAAGCAGAACAGGCCTGTAAAACAGAGACAAGACCATGATACCCCACCTGCCTTGACTGACTGTAAAAACCATGGTTTGGGATAATGGGCAGGCCCTGCTGTGGGCCATGGCAGGTGTTCATCTCAGTGCCTCAAGGCGTGACAACATATCAGTTATATGCGGTTGTAGAAGCATATGTGATTGAACAGTTATGTTCCTTCCTGTTTACTAGTGCTAGGTCTTGCTCTTCTAATAAAGGTAGAGACTGGACAACATGGTAAGAAAAATCTTCAGGATTAGAGCTTGTTACTGGTTTCAGTCCTGCTTGGGCAGGGCTCAGTGGCTGACTGCAAAATCAAGTCACACAGCCAAGCCCTGCACTGAAAAGCAGCTGTTACTAAATATTACTGGGATTCAGAGGAACTGCTAATGGTACCCAGAATCAACTTTTTTTTTTCTTAATTTTTTGAAGGACATATTTTAGAAGGTATTATTTGGACAATAAGATTTTGGGTTTTTTTAAGCAGAGTAACAAATTTCTTAGTTATGCTATATCCCTACTATTTTTTTTTGTAAGAACACAACATGAAGAAATGAATCACAGCATTTGAACACAGAGCTGAATGCATAGTTCTGTTACATAGAAAAAGACTTTTTCTTTACATTTCTCTCCATTTTGGTAGTGCCTAGTAAGCTTCATTTCTGCATCACAGATACATCAGTGAAAACACAAGAAAAATATCCCATAAGCTATGATTGATAACAGCCCATGTGTATCTAGAGACCTGCTGTCTGATGCAACCTGGAATTTTTAAATACAAATCTGGTGATGCTTATGTTTTGTTTTTAATGGAGGGCAGGAAGGCACTGTGAACATTTCAGGGCATGCAGACACTACTAAATACACTTCTGCAAGGAATAAAATTAGTTTACACACGCTGAATGGCCTTCTCAAGGCTGCGTAACGCATATTTCTTTTTCCTATCTAGTAGCATTTACAAATTGTGCTTCATTTATAAAGCCTATACAAAGCATTTCAAAATATCTGTGACAAAAAGACAGAACTCACATGGTTGCCTCATGTAAATTGGACATAGATAAGGCTGCTTGTCTTAAAGTTTTCTTTTCATTTGGAGGTGAGACATATGCAGGCTCACTCTCCTCCTGAGAGTAACACAGATGCTCATCAATAGGGAGGCAAGATATTGGACCAGATGATAACTCATGGCTGCTTTGAGAATGGTCTTCATCTGAGTCTTCTTCTTCCTGCTTGTAAAATGTAAAGCATGATAAAATTAGTCATTTACAAAACAACGTAACAATTATTAAGATGACAACACAAAGAATTAGGCTGTAATTTCCTGGATGCATCGACTAAAAGATTGCAGATGTTGCAAATTCTACCCAGGTCTATTTGAAACCAATCATGAGAACTCTTATGGGGCTTGCTGGTCTACTGGGTACTGTTCATAACTCAACAGTACAGAATCCAGGCCTGTTTCTGAGTAGCTCCAAATATCAATTTTCTGTTTACTCAAAAGCATTTGCAAGTTGAGAAGATTTAGAGAACTTTCTGTGTTTATGCAAGCACTGCTGGAACTTGTACTCCTCTTATTTACTATTTAATGCGTTTATTATACCTGGAAATTATAACTGTAACGTGCACTGTAGATAGGTAGAGATTTTACATATGTTTTATAACTACAAATGTGAGCTACCAAAACAGAGGAATATTGCTGTCTTCCCCACATTCCTTCATCCTCAAAAGAAAAGCTGGGCTGTTAAACTGAGTGCTTAAACATGAAATTCTGTGCAGCAAGACTAGACACAACTAACACAAGAGACCTTTCAGTTAATTTTGAAATTAAATATCTGTGAGCACATGTACAAAGATTTCAACTGGGATTTTCAAAGAAATCTAAAGCTCTATTAACATCTATCAAGATAGTAGTTTCTAATTTTTTTAATCGACTAAGCCAACTTCAAGATAGCCAGATTCCACTATCTCTCCTCACATATAGACCAGTTATCACATGAATTTTATGCATTATTAAATTAGTACAAATAATATTTATGTGCCATATGTTTAATACAAGCCTTCGCAATAAATAGAGCAGATATCTACATCAGGATAGCGCCTGTCTTCAAACAATATGAACATGAGCTTCCCAAGACATTGCATCCTTCCTAGGCTCTGCCACCTCTGAAATGGGCATGGAGCCTGTGCTTGACACTAAGCTTGGCCTTGCTGGCCTCAGTCTCTGGCTGTTCCTGGTGCCGTGATCCACACAGAATCTTCAACCTTTTCCTGGAGGAAACTGTCGATCTAAATACAAATACTAAAATGAAAATGACATTTTATATAGCTTACATCAATTGTAGTAGGAAACACATGACAGCCTTTTATCTCTTGCCCAGTGATTGAAACCACTAAGGAAACTGCCTAAGGAACCATTACCTTGTATTATTGACTTCTGGTACTGTTGGAAGTTGAATTTTACAGTTTATTTCATCTAACTGAAATATTAACACCCTGTTTTAACTAATCAGCAGATTATTCAAATAGCATTAGTTTTACTGCTGCCAAGTTGATGTGCAGGCACAAATCAAAGACATTTAGCATGCTATCTTGACAACGGCTGTGAATTCTTTCCAACTTACAATTGTTGTGATCAGTGATGGAGTTGCAAGAAGTTTCTTGATAATTCTGTATCTGTCATAAAGAGGTTTCATTAGACTCTTTTCTTGTTTAGTTACCTACGGAAAAATCATAGTAAAATATAATCATCCAAAATTAAAAATGAATTTATTTATTTACTTATTTTCTCCTATAAAGCTGAGAAAAGTATTAGAAAAGTATGACCTGATGTTTATTTTGCTTCCAAGGGTATTTCACAGGAACTGTACTGCAAGACATAAAAATAATTTATAAAAGAAACCTTGGCATGCTTGGCAAGCATAAATTTGCATGCTGGGATTCTGATTGTTCTCTTGCAATCCCAGCTCAACATACTCAACTTTTGATATTGATACGAAATAATACTTGTTAAATGGCATGGCATGTCACTGGTTGCTATTCACACATCTGAAGCAGTGATTCTTGACACTTCAGCAGTTTCTCTACAAGCATTATGAAAAATCTTTTTTCTGCACTCTCGCAGCTCTTTGAAAGCAGAGAAGCATCTATACTGTTGGCTAATTCACTGGAATGTCTCTGCTTGCATACTCACTGTCTCTGCGGGTTGTTATCCCCCTTGTCTTAAAACAACATGAACATGAGCTTCCCAAGACATTGCACCCTCCCTAGGCTCTGCCAGCTCTGAAATGGGCATGGAGCCTGTGCTTGACACTAAGCTTGGGCCTTGCTGGCCTCACCCTCCGGCTGTTCCTGGTGCCAGGATCCACACAGAATCTTCAACCCTTTCCTGCAGGAAACTGTCAATCTAAATACAAATACTAAAATTTGCTTCTTTAAGATGCATGATAGTCTAAGTAGGCAAAGTCTAACTGTGCAGACAGTCTGCAGACTGTTTGTCTATTTTTAGGAACAACAAAAGGTAAGAATCTTGTCTGTATTCCATTTCCCTGCTTTAAATTCCTGACTGACTCTGAGCTCCCTATGACCTGAAATCAGAGCTGTTTGGCAGATCCAAGATTCCTTTATGGCTCCTTAGCACCACTGACCATCTCTTTCTTTATTCAGTTAGCATCTTCTTTCTCAGACTCTTAGAGTTGCCTCTACCTTTGGAAGAAATATTCTCTGTAAACCACAAGCTACAAAGCATGCTCTATTATTCTCAGTCTTTGCATCTTCAAATCTCTTTCACCTTTATACAGCACTAGTAAGTCAATTTCTTTCTTGTTCTCCCTAGGAAAAGTCATTTAGTCAGACCCCTTTCTATATACACTCTCCTACACCTACAGTGAAAATATTGAAACCATTTTAATATTTTAAGTCAGTAATGCTGTGGAAAAAAAAAAAAAAAAAAATGACAGGTCATTTTTTTTTTTTAATTTCATCTCCAGTGGTGCTCTGTAAACCTTTTTCAGCTGATACACGTGATACACATTTTAACTTTTCATACGTTGTGGTATGAAAAGCTACAGTATGCATGAGCCAAGTCTAATGTGGATGCATATCCTCCATCTTTGTCATCAAAATCTGCAACTTCCATTTATGAGGAAAAAGACAGGGCCACAGGAAATTTGCCATTTTACTTGATTTTTTTTAATATAAAACAAATTCATAAAGCACTAAAATTTATATATGAAGATTAGTTTGAAATGCTGATTACAGAAAATTAATTTAAATATGTTTAATTAATGAGTCCAAAAATATTTGATACAGAACTTATATAATCTTCAATTTACTCATCTTCCTATGGTATACTTACAGGCCATCCATGAATACTCTCAAAATATAGCAGACAGTTTTGAAGATTGATGTTTTCCAAAGCCTTTTTTTTTTTTTTTTCGTCATATTCTAATTTTAAAAAGTTATTTATAAGATTGTGAACCAGGATTTCATGACAAGGGTACAGACAGGTATTTGTTCAATCCTTTGTTCTCTCCAAATAAACATTAGCAATGAATTCTGTTTCTGTCCACACTAATGTTGAATGGGTCTTGGCAATGATTTAGCAAGAGCAGAATGCAACTTTATATGACTTAAGTCTTACACGGATCGCAGATGTGTATTTCCCCATGCAAGGCCTATTGCAGAGCAGATGAAACCTACAAAGGTAATGAGTAAAACTGCTTTTAGGTGAGAAATACAGTGTGCAAGAGCACACTGCTGGCTCGTATGTGGCTTTTCGTCCACCAGAACCCCCACGTCCTTCTTCACAGGTCTGCTCTCAGTGAGTTTTTCTCTCAGTCTGTACACATTATTTGGGATTGTTCTGACCCAAGTGCAACACCTTGACATCAGTTGCCCTTCCTTTGTCACCGATGTCATAACTCCATCACAGAAGGCCACCAGATTGGTCACGCACAATCTGCCCTTGTTGAAGCCACGCTGGCTATCTTGGATCACCTTCTTGTCACACATGTGCTGTAACATCTCTTCCAGGAGGATCTCCTCCATGGTCTTCCCAGGCATGGACATGAGGCTTATCATCCTATAGTTTCCTATGTCTTCCTTTCTACCTTTTTGAAAATGGGAGTTATATTTCCCTTTTTCCCATCACCAGGGACATCACCTGACAGCCATGACTGCCATTGGCTGGTGAGAGATGACAAACAGGAAGTTTCAGCTATGCAAACACAACACATTAACAGAGTAGAATGACTGACAATGAAATCTCTAAACGTCTAACCATTGTGATACAGTGATTAAAACACTCCAAAAGATGAACATACTGAAAACAGTGCTATTTTTGAAATGAAAGGGAACAATAAGCAGCAGGAATCTGCAGTTTGATGGCGTGTATTTATGGAACTGCTATGGAAAAGCTGCAGAAAATGCAGCTCTTAATTAACAATGGGAGGAGACCTAGGCTACTTCCCCAGTCACACTCATTGCTTTGCTGCACTGAGCACCACCTCTCCTGCAAATGCTGAATTCCTTCTGCAGTGATGTTTCACAAGTGAAGTGTTTTATTTTTGCTCAAAAATCACAATATAAATCAGTGTTAACAGAAAGAGAAATGTTGATTTCTCAACAATGTGATTTATCAGTGTTGGTGATGATGTACCACTATGCTTGTGTTTTGTACAGAGAGCACACTATTTAACTGCTTTTTTTTTTTTTTTTTTTTTTTCCTTCCCCCCCTCCTCCCAAGAAAATCTGTTCTTAACATGTCCATATTTTCGTCTGGGTTGGAACAGCAAGAAGCACGTGAAGCTAATGTAATTTTCCACAGAGTCTGCCAGATCACAACAGATCTCTACAATTAGAGTTAACTGCTGGAAGGTTTGGAGCAGAGCTCCTCCACTGCAATGAAGTAATGCAGAGAATGATGGAGCTGGGGTAGGGGGATACCTTTCTGCAAGAGATTGGTAACCAGGCTTTTTATTGACAAATTGGAGAAATAATAATTAGCCATTTCTTTAAAAAATGTATCAAATCTTGATGAAGTAATGCTCTTTCCTTCTTATTAACTTTGCAGGAACGTAAACTGTTTTGATTGTTGTCCAAATGCAAAAAACAGAGCAAAACCTCTTGTTCTTAAAGGTCTGCATGAGTTAATCACTCTGAAATTATTTGTTATTCATACTAAAAGAAAAGCTACTAAACTAGAATTTAGGAGTATTATAAAACAGCTAACTGTATTGCTTGTTGCTATTTCTGCAATTAATACAAGATTCATTCCTTGAAAAGCTATTAAGCCTGAGCAGCTGAATGCTTAACAGGAAACAGAGAATGATCATTAATATTGATTTTACACATGAGAAACAATCTCAAGAGGGTTTGGCATTTGGGTTTATTTCATTAGCTCGTTTCATTAGCAATCTCAAGACAGGTTTGTATTCAGCTGGGCTTAAAATGGCTGATAATTTCAAAATGAGAAAAGACAAACTCCAGAATCATCTTGAACATCTTCCGATCATGGGCTGTGCACAGCAGCATGAAATTCAGTGCTAACTACATAGAAATACTGCTTCATAGCTAATGAAAAGATAAACAGAAATAGGCCTATAATTTATTCAGGTTTTGTAGTTTGCCTTCTTTAGACATACAGGATGGTTTAGGATTCTAAACAACAGTGCCTTCCACCTTTCTCACATTGTATCTGATATTTTATTAGGATGGTTGTTGTATATTTGAAGAACAAAATAGCCCTCCAAATGACTTGATAACTTTGGGCTAAAAATTAAAAAAAATCTGTGATCTATGAATCCTGTTGTCAACAGTCAGTAAAATGTTTACTAAACCCAGTTTCACAGGTCACATTCAACTTTGCATCTTCAAGGACACTCATTTTCTCATCTCTGTTTTGGAGGAGGACAAGACAACCTTGTATGGAAGCACTACCATTGCCCCAAGCAGTTAGATCTTCAAAACAAAACGAAAAAAAACTAAAAACATTTAAACATTTAGCTACTTTTTAGCCTACTATTAGTCCAGTTCACATTCTGGTAGAGAATCTAAATTCTATACAAAAAATAAAATATTGCACATCAAATTAACAACAGTAACACAAAACTTGCACTCATAACTGAAAATAATTTTAACGTTAAGCATAAGGATCCAATGACAAATTATTTTGAACTAGCTCAATTTGACTTTCTATTATTCCTTTTCAAGCCTCTGTTCCATGGCAGCTTTGTATAAATATTTTCAATCACCTTTACTAAAAAAGGATGGATCTTTCAGAAGAAAAGTAGCTTGAGATGTACAAATGAGTGTTTAATAAAAAAAAAAAAAGAAAGAAATATTAATTTGTGCAGACATTAAATTTAGATTACAGCTCTGCCATTGTACAGAATTAATCAAAAATGGAATGGGACCTGCAGCCAGCTTACTCTCATAGTCATAAGAGATCTTCTTGATAGGTTTTCCTCACTGACATCTGCTTTGGTATCAGCTGATCTCTGCAGAACAACTTTTTTTTTTTACAACTAAAACTATAATCATGTAGTTTGTACTGTTGCAACTTAAGAATGCAAACAGGACTGCATGCTTTTGTTGTTTTATTGTGTTTTCTTACAAAGGAGTTGTGCTTGTGAAACCATTTTCCTTACATGTTTTCAAAAAGTAACCTATGAAAAGAAGCAATTAAAAAGTCAGCCATCTAAGCAGATCTCAAAATCTCAGCTACAGAAGTACGGCATAATTTTGCACTGTTCTAATTTTAATACAGTAACAGGTTGCTAAGAATCAAGAAAAGAAAACAAATTAAAAAAATTTAATTAAAACCAAAACAAATAAAAAATAAAAATAAAAAAAAATCTGCTGGGTACTTCGTGCTATTGAAATCTATCCTAAATAATTTCTTAGTGTTAAAATATTCTAGCACAGTACAGTGTTTTGTTCTTTCTCCATTCTCTTAGGCTCTCTCCCTCTCCCCATCCTCCCCCCTTTTCCTACAGCAGCCAGAATCCAGACGTTTCTGACTGCACTGAGATTTCAGGTATCTTTGGGAACAGAATTTGTCATCTTTCTTGGCTGTACAGCACCAAGCATAGCAACATCATTTGACAGCAGAAATAGGAAAATGAAATAAAGCAACACAAAAAGAAAATAAAATAAGCTCTTTTATGGACAGTATGTTCTGTGGAACAGCTTTATACAGATCCTAAAATGTGCCAGTAGCATGGATGTACAGAATTTTAAAATAGATATTTATTTGAAAAAATAATTAAGTCCCCCAACTACATGAGTGCATTTCATGGGATATTAAATCTTCTCTTAGATTGAGAAAAGTAATCAAGAATGGAGAAGAACAGAGGCAATACAACTAAGCGTATCAACATCAGAGGGCAAAGCAGCCTGGATGGCTGTGCTGCCCACATGATATTAATGCAGGGCTATCAGCTGGACAGATGTTTTCAGCATTACTCAGGTGAAAGGGGATTTTTACTGTCAAAATAACTTTGCATATGTTCCTAATTTCTCTGCTTCAGAAACACCTGGGAGAGATCCACCAAGCAGACTTGCAGGTTTACTGTCTACTTAGGAGGGATCTTGTGGGTCCTTTGCAGGAACCAAAGCTGAATTCACCCTGTCTGCTATTAATGGCCTCTGTACATTTGAATTCTGCAATGGAAGACTGATCAAAACACACTTTTTTTACACCAGTGAGGACTGACTTGGTCACTGTTTCAGCCAATGGCCCAGAAAAGCCTCCTAGTCAGTCCACAGGGAGCACTTTGAGAGACCGAGGCCGTGTGGGTGGTTTAATGGGGGAGAAGCCTTGGTCCCTCATTACAGCAAAGTTTCTGTGAACTCAAGATAGGATTACATTTCCTTTCATCATTTTTGATACAATGAAAGATGCTCTTCGCATGCACACAACCTCGAGTAGGCAAATCTGGCATATGATTTTTTGCATCCATCTCTGAGCAAAAAGTGTTTGGCACTACTTAAAAAAAAAAAAACTTCACCTCATTGTGCAACTCTTCACGGAAAAATCACTTCAGAAAACTGCACTAGTGCAGTCAGAGAGAAAATGCCCTGCAGTGTCTGAGAGCACAGGATGCATACCCATCCAGCAACTAATATCTGCTTCAGATGATGAAGTACTGTAAGAGACAACCAGATCTGTTAAATACCTTAATAGTCTCAGGAATGTTGAGGTGTTGTCTTTTCTCCTTTAATTGTCTCAATACACTGTCCATGGTTTCTTCTGCTGAAGGAGCTGGTTCCATGCTTGTGGCCTCCTGTGTCCTAGTCTCTATGGGGGTCCCAGCACTTTCACTACTGTCCTTTCTTTGGCCTGCTCTGAAGGTACAGTTTTGCTCTTCTGACATTCTGAGTTTCAGCTCTGAAAGGTAAATTATTTGCTTGTAAATAGGTGAGAAATATTTGCAAACAAATTTCCTGTGATACTATAAGAAAAAAGCATCCAGACTTCTCACATGCAATTATTATAGTGCAGCAGATTAGAACTTTTGGTGCAAGACCTTGTGCAGGGTCTAGTATTTAATGGAGAACTTTCCAGAAGAAATGTACTGAAAGATGAGTTTTTAATTCTTTCCCACAATAACACCTTTATCCAAATGAGATATAAAATATAACAATAGGATTTAATTAGTAGTGTGAGTCCATTTATAATGAAAAAGAACTTTTAGATAATTTATGAATGGCCTTAAGAAAATAAAAATTAATCAATCCTGGTTACATTCTCCCTGAAGACAAGCATGTGAAATACCCACAGATGTTCGCAGAGCTGTGTGTGGACAGTCAGGGCAAAGTGTGACCACAGGGCCAAATCAAATATCAGGAAAAGATCTCTTTCTACAGTCAAATAAATAAAAGCTTTATAGATGCATAACCTCAGTCAGTACAATAGCTAAGAAACTTTTAAGAAACTTTTTGTAGTTTATTATTTCACATTAATTCTAGTTATATTAGACCAGCAAACAGACACTCAGAAAATACTTCAAATGACATTGCCTTTTACGTGAATGTTGGTATTTATGAAGGACGGATGATGTCTTTTAACCCTCCCCTTGTTGCCTTGTTACGAGTATCAAATTGACTTTGATCCTTGCTGTCAGGAATCAAGGCAAGTCATGTCACCTAATATCTTTATTGTCATTAGGAGACTTACTGCCATGCACTAGAGAAAAACAAGCAGAGCATCAAGAATAGAGAACTACTTGTAAAATATTCCAGGTACACTCATGCTGCTTTCAAATGCTTCAGCACTAATAGTGTGTCATTTCAATTTATGTACCTTTGAGCTGCTTACGACCTTTGGCCAAATCGTTCATCCATTTTAGAACTTCAGGATTGGAAGTCTTGTCACCATGTGAAGGCTGAATATAAAGCACAAAGGAAGGAGGAAAAAATGGAGAATTGAGAATTAAACAGTCAAACAGAAAAAAAATAAAAAAGGCCTGAACAGATAGAAGCACTCATACAATGCTACAGATGTCCACATTTCCAGTTATTGTGCATATTTCCACATATAGTGTCACACAGACCATTTGGCTTGATGTCAATACAAGCTGATTGTAGTTTATCTCTCCTCACAGTGGCACAGTGCTACAAGGATCTTAGTATTTTGGTTCTGATCCTAAAAAAAAAAATAAAACCTTTGACTAACTACATAAGTAATTTCAATTACTTCAAGAGGACTGATAAAATGCCTGATGTTTGTCACTTTCCTAAGGAGAAACCTGTTGCAGGCTGTAGGATGTCAACTGAAGCACTCTACCCTTGTAGGGATAAGCCTTACCTCCTTTACAACAATAATTCTTTTGGGAAACAGCACTTCAAATGTTTCAGCTGAACTGTTTAACTAATAGAAGGAAAAAAAAATCCTATGCAACAGAGTTACAACAGTTCTTCCTTCACATTTAGAAATTGCAAATTAAATTAATAATTAAAAATAATTTACACTGGAACATTGAAGTTCAGCTATTTTATATTATAAAACTGTTTTGCAAAATAAAACCTTTGAAATAATTTCTTTCCTGGTCACAGCATGATGACTATTAATGAAATTTTACTCACAGAAGTACCTAATGACCATAGGATAGGACAATTCATTGACATATGTGCAGGTTTGCAGTCACTGATGAGACCACAAAGTAGTATTACAGTTTGCTCAATTTTTAATTTTAGCACAGTCATAACATCACAAATTTCACTGTTTCACACTGTACACATCCAAAGCATTGTGATGTTTTGTGTTTATACTGCATTATTCACATTAAACAAACTAGCCTGATAATGAGCAATGATCTAGCATAGACTGCATAGTCTCCAGTGTCTCCCCATCAGCAACATATCACAATTGATATTTCTCTTATTTTTTCCATCAGCTTCTATAGAGCTCTGTGTTTTGGAAGTTTAAAGGAATATTTGTAAAAGAAGGCAGAATGATAGTTTCCAAGCAAATGACTTAACCATGAAGTAAATAATTGGCTTTTCATCTTCTCAATCACTTCAGTTTGTAAGCCTATCAGCTATGTTTAAGTGACTCATTCTTCTCACACGTGTAGAAGATGCCTATTTTGTAATAAAGGTAATACAAAGAAATCACAAATTAGTCTCAGAACTACTAAATACACTGAAAGATGATAAAATATATTCCTTCACTGATAATTTTCCCATTTTATCAAAAATAGAACTTATCTTACTGTAGTGCATAATTCCAAACACGCTGGGATTCCTCCCTGCCATTTGCAGTATTTCCCTTTATCCACTCAGAGATTTTCTTACCAGGTATTTTTTTTCTTGCTCAAACTTTTCTTCATACTTCCTAATTTTTCTCTTGAGACTCTGAAGATGCTTGGTAAGTTGTGCTACTGTTTGGGGTTCTTTGCACTCTTCGCAGTTGCATCTAGAAGAACTTCTTGGTCTGCAAAAGCCGAAAGCATAGTAGCTCTATAAAAGTGGCTAAAATGCTCTGTGTCTTTTTTCAAACACACGTAACACTTTCTTAGCACAACAGAATCTACACATAGGTTCTTTCACAGGTTAGAGAGAGTTTAGTTTTATAAAGCTAGCAATTGTTTTTCCTTGAGGGTACTCACACATATGTTTTATATACTTCTTTCCCTAATTAATTTTTTGAATTTCTGAATATTTTTCAAAAAAGAGTTTCTAATTTTTTATAATTACAAGTCCACAGACTTGATAATTGTTTACATGCAGTTGATGTTGTTTCTGACTGAAACTCATGTCTTGATTTCTGGAGGTCACATATTGCTCTTGTATTCTATGACACTCTTATCTAGTCAATTTTTGTACCTCAATAACCCTCTCTACTTTACGTTCACTTAACAGAATAGCTACTTAACTAAATTTTAAATCTGTTACTGTGTAACTATAATTAACAAAGACTTCAAACAATGTTACACTGAGTTATCACCAAAAAATGCTAGATCCCATTTCTGCTATTTCAAATTAACCATGCCAAAATACACTGCAACGTGAAATTTTCTTATTTGTAACACAGGACTAACCGAGAGACCAGAAGAGTCTAAGATCATGCATTGTTCAAAATGAATTTAAAATACAGATACACTTAAATACACTTTCTTACATCATGAAAGGTTGAGCACTTGGTGGAGAAGGGGCAGATTCTGGGTCTAAATTAAATCTCTGGCTTTGGCTAAAGATAGAGCAGCGTGGTGACAAAAGAGGATTGTCTCCATCAGTAATGTGATACAGCAATCGACTGGCTCCTAGGGAGAGATGTTCTTGTGGGCTGCTGTCCATGTCATTCTGCCAGTCTCTGTGGGCTGGTAAAGGCTCTAGAAAGAAAGCACAAAACTCTGTGTATTGAAGGTCATTCATCAGGTACAGCTACTTAGATAAACAGAAACCTGTGCATATAGAAGGATTAAAAGTGCAAGTATTCAAAGTAAACACAGCAAGTATTTCAACAAAGTATCACATGCACCTTGAACATTATACTGAGGGTAAGAAAATACAGAGGGCACTCACTGGCTTAACATACAGCATCTTTAAGGTCTACAGGAGAAAGTGGATGCATGTCTTTATAACTATGGAATATAATATAAAGATGGACAGTTTCCCAGAAGAGAAACATTAATTAGACTTTTATAAACTTTTGCTTTTGAGAGCCACATTCCCAAAGCAGAAGATAAATATACAGAACAAAATTTGGGTTGTGATGTAGCATTTTGTCCTTTGGTCAGTGGAAAGGCAGAACACAAACGCCGTATTTCCTGATGCTAAGAACCTCAAATGTTGTTTGCAGTTTCCTAATTTCATTAGGTTTTGAGATAACATGCATGTGAGTCTAAAGAACACTACACAATGAAAATAAAGATAACAAGCAATCACATTCGAAGTAGTTACTCAAATTAATGTGCAGTAACTGCTCCTTTGAAGAGTCACACTTACAGTACTATGTTAATACTTCTTTGACTGTAAATGGAAACTACCTTAGCTGCCTCAAGAGATAAACTTTGTTTTTTTAAAAATGATTAAGCTAGAAATCAGAATAATTTATTCTGCTCTGAAAATGTAGGAACTGCTAAACTGTATCATACTGACTGTGCTCATGAGTAACATGAAAAATGATGGGCACGTTATGGAGCCTACCTTATGGGATGCCAAGTGTTCATCTTCCCTTGAGTATTCCTAGTTTATTAATGGACAGAACCACTGAATCTTGCTCCTCACCCTCAGTGGGTGAAGATAATCTGGCCTAGTTGTTATTTTTCACTATCAGATGGCTGTGTTTGAAAGCAGATTTTACTTTGAAAGAGAAACCCCATATTTCCATAAATTCTCCACCAAAAAACAAAAAGCGCGTGTTAAAGCAAAGAATGTGTGTTCTTTCCCAGATTCCTCTGTGTTAATCTCCATAGTACATAGCACTTGGTATCAGCTATGTTATTTTATCCTCTAAAGCCATGCATACATACAGCCTTTGAATGTACATCATTTGCTATTTCCAGGCAGCATGCGTGCCATTTCTAGTCAGTATCATGTCTGCAATATAACATGCAATCTACCATATTTTGCAGAATCCTTTCATTAAATAAAAGTCTAAAAGTGCACAGAAAAAAAAACCAAACAACTGTACATGAATTTTTCCCCATAAAAGCTAGCAGATCTAGGAAAGTTCTTTAACCTTCACTTTCTTTGCACTTTCACCCGTTTACATAGAATGTGATACTCCCACAGTGAGTAGGTATCTCCTTCAGGATTTTAATGGAACCTTTGTAATACATTTTATTTCACCTCTGCCCAATAAATTCTGGAGCTATGAATCTGCACTTCTGCACTATGATGTTGGGGACACATTGGCTCTAAGTGGAATTCATCATAAAAATCAATTGTTGATTCAGAAAGTAATAGAATAACCTAAAATATTATTTCATCAGAGAGTATCCGAATGTTTTTGTTTTGCTGATAACAAAAGTCTAACTGTATACTGCATAATCACAGTTTAGTATGTCATGCAAAAGTTACACGTGACTTCTGTGTCTATAAGTTCATTTCCTTCAACAGCACCATCAATTATCATCATGTTAAGCATTTTGTGGCAGTAAGATGATCCTGCTTTGGCAGGGGGGTTGGACTCGATGATCTCTGGAGGTCCCTTCCAACCCCTACAATTCTGTGATTCTGTGAAGACAATGTAGGTGACTATTAATTCTAACCTACTATCTTTCCTCTAATTACTTCCTACTCTGTTAGTGAAATTCACCTCTTAAAGATATGGGAGCAACTCCCAGAAGTTCTAAACGGAGTATGAGATCTAAATCCTCCCGAAGAGAGATCCAGAAAGGCATCTGGGTGAAGCATAGATACAATATTGTACCAGCCACAGGAAGTTATTTACACAGACAACATAATACAGTGATAAAGACCAGAATAAAAGCTGTTCTGCAAACAAAAGTGCTGTTAGTTTCTGGCAATTAATCTTCTCTATTACATTTTCTATGACCACAAGAGCGGTCTTAGACCCAACCTTATCATACACCAGATGCACTGAATTGCTGTGTACAGTCCAGAAGTGCTCAGTAAGTCATGACTACTTAATCATTTACATGGCCAGCTCCACTTTTAATTACATTTTAAGGCAATTCTCCTGATTCCAGAGCTGTGTGGATTCTAAACATGACACTTATTTTATGAGTAACACAACTACTGACCCAGTATGTACATGTGTGTGACCTAATTTCAGCCTCTATTTTTACTCAAACTGGGAAACAGCCACAGTTAGCCAAGCTCATATGTTGCCCCTTAGCATGCATCTGCTCTGTGTCATCTATTCAGTCCAGTTTGCCACAGGCAAGGGTTCATCAGAGGATTTAAAGCCAATTCTTTTCTATATAATAGGCAGTAAGCTTAATAATGCGGACTTCAATCATATAATACAGGTTGTCTGATACATGTATTTGTGTTATATTAGACTATAAATAATAATACAACATCATCTGTTACACTTAAAAACAAATACACTGATGTGTTATGTTCCAATGTGTGTCAACATTTGTGACATCTTTGAATGCAGCGGCTTGCTGCTCAAGTCACATGTATACTCATATCCAAGAAGTATAACTTACATTCTGCTTTTTTTTATTTCCCATTAAAAAAATCTTGCTTAGTACCCCCTTGCAATTCTTTATGGACTTATTTTGCCAGCTCTAATTCAATTTTTTCCATATCCAAACGGAAACTGCTGACTTGTCTCAGCAAGACTTACCATTGATCCCTTAAAATTTGCATCAGGAGTAGCCTGCCTTTTTAACAAACTGCTGGGGCTTCATTTAACCACACATATAAATGCGTATGCATATACTTTATAAAACACATTACACAAGCATATTTATATTAATATATTTCCACATTGTACATTTTTTTCTATTGCCTGATTCACTAAGCAAAGGCTAACAACTAGACACATGGTGAATATGGTGCATCCCCTAAATAATCTATTTCTAGCCTGGTGCAAATCTCTGGACCTCCATCCAAATTCAAGCTGAAAAAGCCAATAGTCTCATGTGACACCTGTACCTAAACTGAATGAATCAGATTTCATTAGTAATTTAAGAGACAGAATTAAGACAAGCCCTATCTATAAAAAATAGGAACTCAATAAAGAAAATTCAATCAACCACAGCACAGCATGGAGAGTCCATTAAAATCCATTTAAATAAGTGAAGTTTAACTGAAGCACAAGTTTGAACTGCCAGAGTGGCAGAGCATGCTCTAGAATGCATGGCAGGAATGCTACATCATCCAATACTTGTGTGTATGTATATGCTTTATAATAATTTGGATTCTACTTATCATTTCCCTAATTTTTTTCAATACAAACATTGAACTTAAGTACATATTAACGCTATAATTTGTCCTCTTTTTAGGTATTTAACTTGCTGTTATTTCTTGCTGAAAATTCTAAGCAAACAGCTTTAGAAGTTATTCTGAACCCAGCATTTATTCAGACATAAAATGTCAATTGCACAGCAATTACTTACCTATCTGCTTTAATTTGAACCATACATGGTCAACAGTTTAAGTGTTTGTGTATTCATGTCACTTGTCTGTGAGATGGATTAGTCATATTGCCTTTGACCTATTTTTCACAAACCGTGATTCCTCTCCTGAGCATCACGACTATCAACACTGTGACTAGAAGCTATGAATTGACAAAAATAGTGCAGAGCCTTAGGGCTATTTATTTGCAAGGACTGGTTTCCATACTGAGGAAAGAGAGAGAGGTAGCACACCACAATTTGCCCAGATGAGTAATAATAGAGAATCATTAATGATTTAAATGCACATGCTGTAAAACTCACCTTCACTATCTCTCTGCTGATGCATTAAACTAAAATCAATAATAGGAGAAATGAAGTGATATTGGTCTGACAAAAAGAACGACAAAAATAGAATTACATGATATGGCAGATGATCTCACACAATACAGGCACAGGAAACAAAAGCATAAATTCATTTGAATAAATAACAGACAAACTAAAAAGAATCAGGATTCTAAAAATCTACTTGAAAAGTCAGATTCCCTTGCAGAAGGACAGAAGGCTATAGCCATTAATTTCTGCTCTTTTAACAAGTGTCACCCCTTTTTACATTAGCATTTGCATCAGGAAACGGTGCTTTGCTTCAGCTCGGCACGGTTTCCCAGAGGACTGCAAATCTGAGATCAGACTGCAAGTCACAAGGCTGCTTTATAATTGCAAATGAGAGCACATCATGACACGATCCCTTACCTCCACTACTGGCCCCATCAGCTTGCACACTGGTTTGGACTGATGAAGGGGCTGGATCCTTGGGTGCTGGCAGCTGGGGAGTTTCCTCCTGGGTTGGCAGAAACGCAGAGCACAGATCCGTTTCGAGGGCTTGTAGCTTCAACAAAGAATTCTGCAGACAAAAGCAGAACATTTGGCTAGACGGAGAGCAACAAAATACAGCGATAGCTCTTCAACTCACTGAGCCCATTAAGAGCGCCTGCAAAGGGGTGTTCCACTAGCAGCTCTGAGGATGTACAAAAGAACAAACATGCACTATTCCACGAGTTTCTTCACTTCTGGTTATTTAAGTCCCAATTTAAATGGATTATTCATGACACGTGGGAAAGATGACATCGTCAGCAAAAGACAGTTTATTCTAGGAAGCCAAACTGAGATGGTGTCCGTTTTTTCTTGGTCCTGAAGCAGTACACTAAGTAAGTATTTCATTCATTGGGCTGACATCACGATCTGATGACATTATGTCCCTCCCCATTTACCATTCATGAAAAAAAAAAAAAGTCTCCCTCTTCAGCCTATTGTGCAGTACACAGCAGTGAACAAAGAGTTACTGAGAACACGCTGCCTTATGGGATTCTTGGAAGAGATATTATTTAACTGGCTTTTTTAGAGATACTTCCTTATGTAAACATTGCTTTTATGTAGGTGGCTGCTGCTTCTGCAAGGCAACCAGATCATTTCCTATCTGTTGCAAAGGCAAAATTAACAAATCATTGTCACTTACTGCAGACAAATCAATGGGGACAAAGCTAGTTACCTATAACATCATTCCCAGCTACATTGTCACGTTTGGTCCATTTCTCATTTTAATCTTCAATGCTGCATGCAATACTCAGCTGTACAATCTGATACAAGCATCTTGCTATGATGCAAATGCTGTAAAAGCTCAATCACCATTCAGCTGGATGAAGTGAGTCACTACTGATACCAAATTATTCAGCTTCCCATTCTCAAGGGAAATAGAACTTGCAGCATAAAACAAAAACACATACAGATGTTTTAATAATCATACAGCTGATGCATTCAGAATATACATAAAATGTTAAATTGCTCACAAGAACGTATTTACAAAGAGCATTTTCTGGAAGAAATCTGAGTTACAATACAAAGAAATTTCTTGAGTTTATATCCTAAAAAGGTACTTTCCCTACTGTGTCAAAGATCTGAAAGTAATGTATTGATTCATTTAATGAAACAATGAATTTATTTGTTAGAGTAGCTTAATACATCTGCACATTACTATTTAATTTTGATAGAGCACTTTCATAAGTTCAAGGGTGGCAGTATTTTTGGCTTAAAAAAAAAAAAAAAAAAAAAAAAAGCAAGTGAACTTGACAGGGAACAGCGGGAAAGACTTTCAGCCCTGGTTTTTTGTTCCTTGACAGTAGACATGGCCTCATTTTGGACATGAAGAAAAACTTTCTCTCAGAGCGTGGTCAGGCACTGGAATGGCCTGCCCAGAGAAGTCGTGGAGTCACCATCCCTGGCAGTGTTCATGAGGTGTCTGGATGAGGAGCTGCGAGATATGGTTTAGTGCTTGTGGTAGAATGGTAATGAGAAGATGGTTGGACTAGATTTTATATGTCATTTCCAACATTGTTATTCTATGATTCTATGATTCTCATTTTCTACCACCTTTCACCTCAGCTAAATACTGTGGTTGTGGAATCACAAAACATGGACAGTGTTTAATAGTTACTATTTGATTTACAGGCCAGGGAGGACTCTGATCATAGAATGGTTTGAGTTAAATGGACCTCAACGATTATCAACTTCCAACTCCCTGCCACAGGCAGGGTTGCCAGCCACTAGATCACATACTAGATCAGATTGCTCAGGCCCCATCCAACCCAGCCTTGAACACCTCCAGGGGTGGGGCATCCACAACCTCTCTGGGCAGCCTGTTCCTTCACCTCACCATTCTCAGTAAAAAACTTCCCCCTCACATCTAATCTAAATCTCTCTTCCTTTGGTTTGAAACCATTCCCTCTTGTCCTGATCCCACCACAGATCTTATTGCAATGACTGTGTATTGCAAGCACCCTTCCAGAGTTTTCAAAGCAGTCTCTAAGTCTCCTGGTAAGAAGAACATAGATGAACCACTGACAAAAAATTCTAACCTTCATGGACTTTTGAATTTGAATAAAAAAATCCCAGATCAAGAAAATATATTCATTTGTTTCTTTTTATGCAGTACTTGTTGAACAGTTCCAATTTCAACAATTTCAGCACTGTAATTCACTAGCTAGTTTGCATTCTGTTACTTTCTGAGATATTTTTCGCCCAGTTGTGGAAAGTGGGTGGACAGCAAAGTTCCAGCTGCTGCCAAATACTAAAATAATAATAATAATAATAATGTAATAATAATAGAAATACCTTCTGTGATTTCTTGAATGTGCTCTTGACAGTGATTTGATGTAGGAAGAAAATGAGTAACTAACTTATACCATTTTGATGTTACCAGGGCAATGATGAATCTGGAGTATGCCATCAACCTCATCTCACTCTTAAAACACAGCTGAGCACTATGGTATTGACAAAGCACACCATACAGGAAAAGCCACTGAACATTTGTGGGAACACACACAAAGAGACAGTTTTAAGCAGAGGCCAAGCAGAAAGCTACCTCGTGTCGCGGGCTCGCAGGCAACAAGAGTGTCCTACTAAAATGGCAGGGACACCCCTGCTGCATGCCCTGCCTCTCTGGGAGCTGCCCAAAGCACAAGCACAGCCAGAGCTGCCAGGTAGATTCCACCATCCTGGGCCCTCTTCCCCTGTAACCAGAGCAATGCGTCCCCACATCTACACCTGCAGCCCACACAGGACAAGAGGGTGTTCTGCGAGGGGGCAGCAGGTCATGTACCCATCCTCGAGCTTGCAGAGGTCAGGACAACTGCTGGCAGAACTCAGGTGAGAAAGGAGGAAAGTAAAAGTCCTGCACAGCACACATTCAGCAACACACCCAGTCTGCAGATAAACCAGCCCACGTACATCCTGTTTAGAGACTTCTCATGTTCCAGAGCCTGCCTTTGGAGCCCAGCTTGGCCATTTCTGCTCCTGCCTGTTTTAGAAGTGTTACAGACCACATTAGAAGCAAATATGAGCAGCTACAGCATACAAAGAAAGAGGGAAGTGTTAGTTCATGGAAGGTACTATCATAGCTTTTGGTAAATTCTCCCATGAAAGACCAGTATCACTGAAGTAATCTGATATTGCATATTAGAGCGGCTAATTAACTCAGTTCAAATCCTTCTGATTTTATGCTCATTCCAATGTTAATTCTGGTGCTTAACACTAGTGTCACATAATTCTTGATTCATGCTAATGTAAATAAGAGGGCATTAATATTTAAAAAGGATCCTTATGTTTATTTGGAAAAAATATACATACAACTGCCTCTTAGGTGCAGTACTTGGTAAGTTTGAAAAAGAAGCAATTAGAATAGCCATCATTATCGCCCTCTTGGAGTAACTGACAACTTGACCTATACCAGTTTCACTAGAAGAAGAAGAAATGAAATCCTGCATTTTTGCAAATCAAATATAATGGAAAAAATAAAGAACTTTAAACAAGTCCAAGGAAAACAGAAGAATGTGCAGTGTGGCATTTCTTTCCTACTTATAACTCCTGCTACTGCTTTAAGAGAGCAATCATGAAGGTATCACACTCCTGCCTGCTGGAAAAAAAAAAAAAAGTACAAGAGGACAGCTGTTGGCAGCAGAAGTTCAACCTGCAGTAAAGAAACCATCTTAACAAACAAGTCAGATTGTAGTCTGAACCCACCCCTCCCAACCATCTCTCTTTCCAAGGGATTTTTGAAAACCAAGAGTTGAGGCCTTGGGGCAAGGAGTTACATAGATGTCAGATCACTTCTTACATCTAAAGATACATACCTCACATCTACACTTGCACTGCTTTATCACCTGGAGAACATGACAGTGAATGAGCAAATATTCCCTTTCTATTACCAAAATGCTCTGACAAGGAATGGAAGACCTCTGAAATGGCTCATGTATTTTTTTCAGTTGATGTTATCATTAACTGTGATCCCAGCTGGAGGTCCCTGCATGAGGCTGGGCAGCATCAAAGCCACGTGCTGTGGGTCAGCATGTCCAGTGGCTACAGCCCAGCAGGAGGCAATGAGCCTAATGACACCTCACGAATCTCCCTTTTTGCACCAAGGGCTGTGCACGATCAGCCCACAGCACAGAGCAGATGGATATGATGGCTGATTGAGAGCCATTGCTGTTAGAAACACTTCTTCCCCTGAAAATGCATTACTACAATCAGCTTCCTTTGATCCCTGGGAAAGGAAAAAGCATAGCATGTTTAGGAACTGAGGAAAGGGAAGGAGAATGTGTTTACCACTCACATAGATCCTGTCCAGGTCTCAGGGAGAAGCAAAGCCTATGCTTGGTACTTTCCGTGCAAATACAGCTGCCCAGCCATGCATGTTTCTGACTGCTGAGGATAGTTGCACCCTGCCCTGGGCATGCCCCTGCCTCAAGACTGGAAGGCAGCTGTTCGATTATATCCAGTTTGCTGATGGATTTACTGGATTTATGGCATCGGCTGGGGTGAAGAAGTAGAACAAGGCAAGCTTTCAGTATTTAATGACCTTTGGAGTGATTCATACAGAAAAGAAACAGAGTAAATATCAGTCCTTTCAATTTCTTCACAGTGAGGAAATTAAAAGCAGCACCAGAACAGTGACGTACAAAAGCATCTCCCTTGCCTTTTAATCTGAGGGTTCAGGTTAAAAACAAGATAGGCGTATTTTATGTAAATATAAATAAATCCTTGGTATCTGCTAGGGCAATACTTGTGTCTTGAGGCAAATGACATTTTCCATTCAAAACTTCCCTCATGGGTAACAAACAAGCAACAGTAAGATAGAACAAGATATGCCCTGGGTCTGTATAATGTCACTGGTGACTAGTGAGGAGAGACAGCATTTTCTGTAATCCAAGAAGGGAATTCTGTAATATTGCCTCTGCATTTAGGCTTGCAGGAGACCTGAGATATACAACAATCTAAGATTTTACAAAGAAAGTTAGCACCGCAGTGTGGCTGTAGCTCATTCCACACGAATGATTTGCAACTCATTTTAATTTTTGAACTAGTTATCTGTTTTAATATTTTTATTTACTATTTTTAGGGTTTATTTTAACTGTTTTTTATTTACTATAATATTTACCTTGGAGGGATGCTTTGCACGAATTTAAAATCTTGATATTTAAATCTTGTGTGAAGACAAGAGTGGACTTGATGATCTCTGTGGGTCCCAACTCGGATTTTCTATGATTCTAGCTGCAGAAACTCTGGTGATATTTGCAGTGGAACTTCTCAGAAGAAACAATAACAGTGATTTCTCCCAGCACCTTAACTAGACCAGGGCTGAGAATTCTCCCTAATGCTTGTCACAGAAAGGGCCTTCCTAGTTATTATTGGGATTTTCAACAGTGAGCTGCACAGCAATGACATGAATGCAGAGGAAATAATTATAGCATTTTTTATCTGAATTCCTTTAAAAGGACACAGGGCAGTTTTCTCCTAATGAAATTCAGGCACATTACAGAAACAAAGCTGGTATTCAATGCTTTGACAGGAATAGACTTCCTTTTACACCCAGTTCTTCCCCAGCACATCTGCTCCCATCTGCTTATGTTGTCTTCTTAGGCTACACTTCAAAATATCATCTGGTCCTCGTTTACATCCCAGCACATTCACGCTTTTGCAGAATTAAGCTTATATCTGCTAGTTTACAGATCACAGAATCACCTGGGTTGGAAGGGACCTTAAGGATCATGTAGTTCCAACCCCCCTGCCTAGCAGGGCCACCAAACACACACATTCAGATCAGGTTGCCCAGGACCCCGTCCAACCTGGCCTTGCACACATCCAAGGACGGGGCATCCACAACCTCCCTGGGCAGCCCGTTC